AAAGTTTCATTGAAATCGGAGGGGGACAGTTGGGGATGTTCCCTCGTAAGTCTACACTATATGAGTTTTAGCCTGATCATCATCATCATCATCATCACCAAGATCTCCTTCATAATGTGTGCAGAGATAACCCATAGTTTGAATCATGCAAAGTTCATCGATATTCTGTCCAATGATGCGCAGAATGACAAAACCATCTAAACCTACATAATCAATAAAACGATTTTCTGTTGGCTTCTTCTTTTCGAGCGTTATTTTTGTTTCCAAATTTTCATAGATTTGCAAGTATTGGGTAATGAATCTTTTCCGATTCTTCTTCATCAATAAAACCACCCATAAAAGAATGGACAGCACATTCGCAATGCTCAGAATCATCAACCACACCGTGAGACCGGAGAAGATCACTTCATTAAAGATATTAATTGGCAAATTACATTGAACAGCATACCAATGCTGATTGGAGCCTAATTCGCGAATCATAAAATCACACATCACAACACGAGGAAATCGGACGGACTCGTAGGCATGCGTTCGATCTCGGAATAGTCGGTCAATAATATTACCAACAATATCAGTGTATCGTAAGGAGAGAAAACTGATTAAGAATAGTAATTGACCACATGTATTCATCACATAAAAAAACTTGATCATGAATAATAACGGTGTTAGCCGACTAGCAGTATTTCGAACCCAGAATTTCCGACGAGTAAGAGTGCGTCGACGCATATTGCTGGTTATATCCAATTGTGCTTTGACCAACCGGATAACGTGGTCGAGTTTCTCTTTGTCATGACGATTTTCTTTGATCATTTTGATTAAATTTTTCAGATTTACACCGCTTTGATAGGAAAAGGTTTGCCATGTTTGACCTGGCAATATGAATAGAAGAGCCATCAGCACAAGAGCTAGTGTTGTCCATTGGTAATAAGATCTAGATCGATGACATGAGAATACGATGAACTAACTCGAATCAATTATTTCACTTACACGAGATACATTCGTGGTACGGATCTATCGGGAATTTTAACTAGAACAACAATAGTTGTGATGAATGACGAGTAGTAGTGCGACAAAACATACTTTCCTCAGTTGGCAAATAGTAAGTTCCCTTGAGCCAACAAATACTATTGACGTAGGTAGAATGGATACTCTGGAATTGCGCTATAATAGATCAAGAACGAGCAACTATCGATTTGGAAACATGTATTTTCGAAACTTACTTGGTGTCCAACAATTGATTGGATTTCCTACATAAATTTTTGCCGCTATAATCAGGAAGCAACCGATCAATGCGAATGTGGTATATCGACTGTTTAATCGATCAATCACATCGGCATCAACCTGGCAGAGCGATTTGTAAATAAAAGCTGTTTCTATTTCAACCTTCATTAGATGATCAGTGCTCGTATGTACGTTCGAAAAGACAATTAGATGTACTTTAAAATTGTACTCTTTTCATTCACTCGTCTCTCTATTGATTCTATTTTTCAACATACCAATATATTTGTTCTTATTTGCTCTTTATATATTTGTACATATTAATTAACAGAGCGATGTTATATGAGCAAATATCGCACTGATGAGCGTCACTATAAAATAATATTTAAAATTCAACCGCAAACATAGTTCTCATTTTGTATACTCGGTATTAGCGTGAGAATGAGGGAGAGAACATATGATGTACACGCCTTTGCTTATGTATATATATAAGTGAACAAAGGATAAATAGAATACGATATAAAAAATCGAAGATGTACAAAGGATGATATGTGATTTGTTCCTTTTCAGGTTAACAAGTAATCGATGATTTCGGTTTTTGCTACATGTTAGAGAAGAGGAATAGATCGAAGGTGAAGAAAGAATAGTGACATTTCAAGCTACAGAACGGTAGAAGAAACGAGGAGAGAGAAAAAAAAGTTATACAAAGCGAGTAATGTGCGCAAAACGTGTTTAGAAGTATACGAGGAGAGAGAAAAAAAGTTATACAAAGCAAGTAATGTGCGCAAAGCGTGTTCAGAAGTATACGAGATACATCAAAGAAAGAAAAAAAAGGACGGGGTGAGAATAAAAGAGAATGGTAGAGTAGACACATGTATTCTTGTAGGTAAAAGAAGTGTTAAATACGATAAGACTAAGAGAAGGATTTGAATTTATTCATTATCTGTAAGCTTCACTATTGGATTTTGTTTCTATTTGTTAGTTTTTCTTATGATTATCATTTATATTTTGCTTGTCATCATAATATGTTACGGCGGATACAACCGGGAAATATTTCAAAATGAAAATACTCTGTTATTGATGTTGATCTATTAAAATACTCTTGAGGGTGTGGGTGAGTGTGAGTACGAAAAGCCTATGATACCCACACTCACACCCACCCACACTCCCTTTTTTTACAATATAGACGTCGTATAACGAGATTTTAAACGTAAATAATCTTTTCGACTTTGAATAGCTTGTTCAATGCATAGAAGCACAATAGCAATTTCTTCACGTTTTTTAATAATTCATCT